GTTTATTTTGACAGAGAGAGAGAGAGAAAGGGAATCCCGAGCAGGCTCCATGCTGTCAGCACAGAGCCCGACGTGAGGCTCAATCTCACGGAGCGTGAGATCATGACCGGAGCCGAAATCAAGAGTCAGACACTTCACCGATGGAACCACCCAGGCGCCCCATCAGCCTTCATCATTCTTAAGTTTTTTTGTTTTTGTTTTTGTTTTTTCACATTTTAACAGTTTGGAAATTGGGATCATTTTAAGACCAGTCGCGTGTTAGATTTGTCAAAACAAAACAACCCTGCCCCTCAGTGCCATATTCAGTGAGAAGGCCGCGCAAAGGCCTGGCCCCTGAGGGGCCCTCAGCTCCCAGAAGCAGGTGTCGTTGTCGTTCTTGGGATTGTTCTCTTATTTGCACATTCTGGGGCTTCTTGAAGCCGGGACTTACCCTGTACTGAGCAGTAGGGTTATGGGGAAGAACGACAAGGAACGTGGCCGGAATGAAGGGCAAAGCTTTCTGGAAGTCACCGGCAGGGGCCTGCTGAGTGACCCATGCACATAGCAAATGTGTGTTGCATGCATATTACGGGCCTACATGGTAGAGGCCTACAGGGATGGCCGAGAAGTGTGCCCCATCAGGGAGCTGTTCTAGAATACCTACCTGGGGGCTCTCAGGCCACCTGGATGCCTTCAGGCCCGGCATTACGTCCATCGAGCGTTTCATATCGCTTTTTGTTTCCAAGGGGCTCTGCCATCATCGACCACTTGCTTCTCGCGCGTCCTGGGGGTAATTCTGTTTCTCCCTCTGAGGTCAGTTATGCGTTCCTGTTTGTTGTCTTAAAGATGCCGTGACAGAGCTAAGCAAAGAATTTAAGGAAGCAGGGGAGCCCATCACGGATGACAGCACCAGCTTACACAAGTTTTCTTATAAACTCGAGTATCTCCTTCAAGTAAGTGACTCCCGTACCATGTTGATTTCTGCTCTGTTCTGTTTCTCTCTTGCATGACTCATCAGCCTTCAGGATGTGGGTCAGACAGCTCTGTGGAGCCATCAAGCCCTGCTGGTTAGACTGAAAGTTCGTGCAGTCCCCGGCGAGAGCTTGAGCCTCCCAAGTGCAAGCCTCTGAAAAGTCAGAATGTTGCCCCTTAGGATGATTGTAGGAATCAAGAACATTCTTTAGAGATTTAGGTCATCTTAAGGCAGGTCATGAGGTCACTGGATAGCAGGGATCTTCACTTTGGGGCAGTCACAGACCCCTTTGAGAGTCTAGTTAAAAGCTGTGGAATCTGTCCCCAGGCAGACGTGCATTGCATGCACACCCAGTCACACGTTCTCCACACTGAAGATGATCCAGAAGCCCCCGTTTTAGATCCTTGTTGCTCAAAGTGTGGCCCACAGACCAGCAGCAGCAGCATCACCTGGGGGCAGGTTAGAAATGTATTCCCAGTTCCTGCCCTGACCTGCTGAATCAGGGTCTCTGAGGTCAACCTGGGAAGTTTTGTTTGAACTTGCTCGCGGTGTGATGCTTCTGTCCGCTTGGTTCAAGAAACGCAGATCTACAGGGGCGCCTGGGTGGCTCAGTTGGTTAAGCGTCCAACTTTGGCCCAGGTTAAGATGTCAGAATTTGTGAGTTCAAGCCCCGCGTCGGGCTCTGTGCTGACAGCTTGGAACCTGGAGGCTGCTTCAGATTCTGTGTCTCCCCCTCTCTCTGCCCCTCCCCCACCCCATGCTCTGTCTCTCTCTCTCAAAAATAAACAAAACATTAAAAGAAAAAAAAAACACA